GTGAGTGCCCCATGCAGGAGGAGCAGACCCCTCCGGACCCACAGCCTGTGCTCACCCCATCCTGCTGCTCTTGGTCCCCGTGTTTGCACCCTGCTCCCCAAAACTGGGCAGGGAGCTCGGCTGTGCACCCGGCAGGCAGATACCTACATTTCCTGAATGGGGCTGAAAATGCCCAGTTAAAGAGGGGAAATAATAGCATTGCCATTTACTTCCCTAAATTGAAAGTGAATGCGATTCTCTGCGGGATACAGTTCAGTGGGGGAAATCTCCTGGGCCTCTTCATGAGATGATCAGAGTGAAGGGTCTCAATAGAAAGAGAGAAAACAGCTTTGCAAAGGACAAATGACGCTGGGATCGAGCCTGCCTGCTCTCCGCCCTGGCCGCTGTTGCAAGAAGCTGTCTGCTTCTGTCAAAAGAAATAATGAACCTCTTGCTTTTTAAAGTTTGGGGTTTTTTTTCCCTGCTATTATTGTTCTGTTTCTGCAATTCCCTTTCGGAGAGGGGTAGTCAGAGAAATGCTGCACTGGAGCCCGTTGTGTGAAGCCCTGGAGGCAGTCAAGGAGTGGATGGCACTTGGCAGTGGTGACCGTGCGTGTCGTGTCCCCGGCGCTGTGACGGTGCAGGGGGAGGCAGTCGCTGTTGGAAGGAGAACGGTGCTGGTTGCTGCTGTGCGAGGAGAAACCTCAATATTTTTATGGTTGCGTTGAAAGAAGGAAGTTAAACACGACCAGTGTTTTGATACTGGGTGAGAGATAAGAGCAGATGACTGAAATTCAGAGCTCCTGGGGTCTGTTCGTGGCCGTGGTGCAAGTGTGGCTGAGGGAGGAGGAAGAACTTGGGGCTCAGCCACTGAGTGGGGCTCTGCCAATGCTGCTGCTTGTGTCTCTGGACGGTTCAGGTGGAATTGCCAGGAGTGGCTGTGGATCCCACCCTATTCAGTCTCCAGCTGCAGAGATGCTGGAATTGCTCATTTTATCCAGAGGTTCCCAGTCCCTGCAGAGCAGAAGATGGCTCCTTTGCTGTCCTACGGCTGGCTGGGGACATCCCCAACAGGGGACACTAAAAAGGGCCAAATAAAGCCATTTTCATCTTATTTTTGCACTCTTTCTAGCTGCAGACAAGTTCTGCAGCTTTCCACAGGAAGGTGAAGCCTTCATGCATTGGTCAGACTTGTTGCTGGTGCGATCCCACCAAAGCCCTGGGCTTGACACCTGTAGCACCGAGGTGTCTTCAAAGCCCTGCACATGAGTGTGAAGCACCACCATGACCAGAAACTTTGAAGCTGCGGTGCAGGCAGGATCTGGGGTGTCCTCTGCTGATTGAAACGTCCTTTTATTTCTCTAATCGGGTTTTGTCAGGTGTGCGAGGAGCAGAAGTGTGAGGAGGAGGTCTTCCCCCTGGCCATGAATTACGTGGATCGCTACCTGTCGTCGGTCCGCGTGCGGAAGAATCACCTGCAGCTTCTGGGAGCCGTCTGCATGCTCCTGGCGTCCAAACTGCGAGAAACCCTGCCCCTGACCGTGGAGAAACTCTGCATTTACACGGACAACTCCATCACGCCTCAGCAGCTCCTGGTAACCACCCCTGTCTCCCGGAGCCCTCCGCCTCCTCCCCAGCTCTTATCTCCTGCATCCTGCTACTTGGCAGCATACCTGCCTCTGTGTCTCCTCCTCTTTCTCCCATTTCTTCACCTTCCTCTGCATTCCCCAACCAACCTGCTCACCTCTTTGCCCTCATGGCAGTGATGTCTGTGGGTGGAGCCCTTTCCATCCTGGGCAGACACTCGCTCCCTGCTGTGGGAAGCAGCTTTGTCACCTCCAGGTTATAGAGAAAGTTCCTTGTGCCGTAAGCACTTAGTGCCGGCGTGGAGCTGCGATGCTGAGCTCGCTCCCAGGTTGCTGCTTTGCTCGGAGAACAGAGGCTCCCGTCTGCATCGTGGGGGCTGCTGCTGTGGGGTGCAGCTCTGACTTGCCCCTGTGTAGACGGGGCATGATGTGGGAGAAGCATTTCCACACCAGCAGGAAAAGTGAAGCTCTAAGTGGAGAGTTAACCAGCAAAACGGGTGGGAGCTCTGCTGACCTGGGATCCAGCTGGCACGGCTGTACTGTTGGGGTGATGGAAATGAGCAGGGTCCTGCCCAGGTCCTGCTCCGTGCCCTTGGGTCACAGCGGAGCTACTTTGCCTCTCCCATCATGAACTCAAACAGGAGCTGTGTAGGCTTTGAAAGGCAAAAGCATTTTCACGTCTGATAAGTGTTCAAAGCAAAGATCCAAACCTCGTGAGTTCAGCTTTGCCAATGGGGGAGGAAACTGGAGAACCCCTTTTTGTGAGGGGCTTCCGTGCTGGTAGATCAGAGCCCTCGGGAGGAAACGGCCACCTCACTTCGAGTAACAAACATCCCTGGAGACGGTTTGCCTACGATAATTTCTCAGGGTTAGTCATCCCCTTATTAAATACCTATTTTTTGTTGGGCTGGGGTGGGTGTGATGATCTGAGTGTGATTTGTCCCCAGGGTGGGGAGTGAACCCACAAAACTTTCAGGTGTGAATCGGAAGGCGGTTCTGGTAACTGGGGAACTCTGCTGTGAGCGTGGTTTTTCCAAGTGCCAGTGAAGGCTGGGGAAAATCCCCTCACCTCCATACCTCTCTCCCCGTAGTCGTTTGTGGGTGGTTGTTGCCTTAAGCAGGGCTCACAGTAACGCTCCACATACTTTTTTCCATGAATAGCGGCGAGGGATGGGAATGCACAGAGGAAACGCAAGTGCTTGGTGCTTCTCTGGATGCTGAGCTGTGGTCACGCTGCGGGGCTGCCACAGAAGCTGTGTGTGCAAAGGCTTTCTGCTGCTTTGCCAGTGAGGCTTCGTTCCTGAGAGCACCTTGTCCCTCTGATCCAGGCTTTACAGGGAGCGCTGCTGTCATCCCGGCAGGCCGGGGAAGATCAACACAGCGCATCTCCCATGGATCCCAGTTGATTTAAATCTGACTGATTTGGTGGTGCATTCTCGATGAGGATTTGCTTTTTTCGGTTCAATCTTGAGCTTTGTTTGTCGCGGGCTCCCTCAGGAGCAGAGCAGTTGGGAGCTGAGCAGGTGGGCAGAGCACGTGCGCCATCCCTGGAGGCTTTTCCTCCCTCTCGCACTCAAGCACCAATGCCTCCTCACTCAGAGTCTTTTCTATTTCTTCCCCCAGAGGTTTGTCAGCAGTAAGCTGTGGCTGAGCCGTGCCGCAGTGCTCATCTTCCCTTCTCCCCTCTCCTGGCAGCGTTGGGGTGGAGATGGAGGAGGGCAGCGCTGCCTGTGCCTGTGCAGGTTTGGGTGCTGGAGTTCTGCTCCCTGCACGTTTTCCCCAGGATGCTGGGTTGCTCTCAGCGCAGCAGGAGGCACAGCCGGATGATTGGCGTGGAGCTGTGTCATCCCTGTGCTCCAGAGTCAACGTGCAGCTGAGGTGAACAAGAGCGGCTTCATTTTGGGGGTGAAAAGCCCTTTCTTGGGATAGCCAGTTCAGGCAAGTAGGGTCCCTTTTCTCTTTCCCAAGGCCATAGCAGTCGCAGTGCATGGGTTTATTCCTGCTTAAGGAGAGGTGCTGAGGCACTTGCAGATGCCTGGGCAGGAGATGCTCCATAGCCCATGGTCTGGTCATGTTTTTCCCTGCCCACCACAAGGCTTTGGTAGGTGTTTAACCCTGTTTGGAGCAGACACTGCTCCAGTCTCCCCTTGCTCTGCGCTGTAGAGAGGGAGTGGAGGTAACATCTGAAGAGATCTGAAGAGATGTGAAGGATTTGTCTTTGCTTTGGGACCTGACAAGAGTTAATGCCCTGATTACAAAACCAGGGCGAGCTGCTGTTTTCCTCCTCTGTGCTAATCGCGGTGATGTTCTCTTTCACAATCTTGCAGCGGCAGAGGGTGGGGAGGGGAAGGGGAGCTTCTTCATCAGGGTTTGGACAATGGTGCATCCTGGCCTCTCCTCGTGGATCGGTGCCATTTCAGCTTCCAGCGTGGGTCCCCCGGCCTTTCGGAGGAAGCTGCCTCGCTTTCCGAGTGGGTTCGCTTCCTTCTGGGATGCTTGGCACCAGCTCAGCAGTTTAGAAAGGACACGTTTGAAACACAATCTTGATGAAGTTATTCTAGGGAGAAGGAAATGATGCAACGGGGGACTTGTCCATTTGGAGGAAGTTGGATTTCCGTCAAGGGCGTTATCTAACCTACCTTTCTTTTTATTTTCTTTTAAATAAAGGCTTTTCTGGCCTGTGCAAGAGGGTGTTGAGCTGCTTGAAGGTTGGGGAGAGCAGTTGTAGGCCACCTTCATCGGCCTGGTTTGCTCCCACTGAGATCTTTGACCTGAGCTCAGTGCTGCAAAGTGCCAGGTATTTCCTTGCAAAGACCTGGACCAGGATCAAGCCACTGGGCAGGTGATGGAGGGAGCAGCAGCGACAGCAGGCAGTAAGGAGTGAAAATAAGAGCAAGAGGTAACAGCTGAGTGGGAAGGGATGCTCACTTGTGATAGCATTGATTTCCAGAGGACATGCTTGTGTTTTACTGCTTTGCCTTCTGCTGCCTTCATGGGTGTGGGAGATGCGACCGTTTCTGCATCTGAAGTTGACCCTTTTACCCTTGACATCCACACTTGAGCTCCGCGCAGGGGATGGAAACAAACGTTTGCCCCAGGTTTCCTCTTTGCAAATGGACTTTTTTGGCCGCTCATTTCTGTAGCTGTGTCTCAGCTGCTGGGCAGGGGGTGGCCAGCACCAGCAGCAGCACCAGCAGCAGCTCTTTTCACCCTTTTTGAGTCAGCTCCCCAGCACAACGGGGTGCAGCCCGCGCTGGCTTCGCTGGCGTCTCCTCAGGTCTGTGACAATGTGAAATGGGACTGCATCGACTCGAGTGACAAAATCGAGCGCAACTTCCTTTTCTCCTGCAGCCAGGGCTGCTCTGCTCCCTGTGCAGCCTCTCGGATGGGTTCACACAGGCTCCTCGCAGGCACAGCGGGTGTGTGGGTGTTGCTGAGGGTAGAGCTCGATGTGCAGAGTGACTGTCGCTGCATGAAGAGGAGAAGCTGGTGCCGCTGTCACATCCCAGACCGAGCTTGCAGAGCTGTAAACCGAGTGAAACAGCAGAGCTGGAGACGTGGCTCTGTCTCGGTGAGAGGATGCAGAGGCAGCAACCAGGGGCTTGGGGCTGTTTTGCTGCACCAGGGCTGTGCTCTGAGATCACCTTGGCAGAGCAGGGGAAGCAATGGGAAATGGTCCTGCTTTCCTTCCTTCTTTTTTCTAATTTAGTTTCTTGTGGGATGCAGCCAGGAGAGATCAAGGGAGCGAGCGTGCAGAGGGGAAGCTGTGCAGTTTCCACCCCTAGGGATGCTGGCCAAGTGCAGGGAGCTCTGCCCTGGGGGATCTTGCAGAAGGGGGGACCTGCTGCATCTCCAGCCTTGGGATGCTCGGTGGGCAGCGCTGGCAGCTTGAGAACGGGCTCTGCAGGCTGGAGAAACAAAGGCACATTTTCCACTTTCTTCCCTTCTTTCATGAGCCGGGCAGAGACCGATTCAATTCGGTGCAAAACAAAACGCCAGGAAAAGGATGTTTGCCGCACTGAGCGGTGCTGCTGTCGCAGACCTGCTTGCCTATCTCCTGCAGCCTTTTGTTCTGCTTCTTCCACAGATAAAGTGATTCAGAGGCTCTGACACGCTGCTCCGAGAGCGGGAAGTCCCCAGGGTGAGCAGGAGAGGAGCGAGGAGCGGGGCGGTTTGGCAGGAGAGACGCTTCCCTGAGCTAAATCCTGTGAGCTGGTGACAGTCCCTGGCGCCTGGCGCCTTCAGCTGGCATCTCGAGCGCCGGCTGGGCCCCGGGATCAGCCCCTTTGTAACAAGGAGGTTTTTGAGGAGACGCTGAACCTGTGTGCTCGCTGGGAAAGAGCTGCTTTTGTGCATTGCAACCGCACAGGCGGTTGTCCCGGCTCAGCTCTGGTGTGCCAGCAGCCACCTTGTCCCAGGTGAGGTCTCGTGGCTGAGCTGGATGTTTTCCTTAGGACAAAACGTGTCCCAGCAGGGACGGGCGCTGTGCCACACCAGTGCGGATACCCTGTGCCTCTGGTGACTCCAGTAGCTGCTTGCAGCGCTGGGAGGACAGGCACGGGAGCAGGAGCCAGGATGGTGCTGGGCTGGGGTCCCCTCTGTGCTCAGGAGCTCCCCTCTCCCTGCAGGGACCCCTTTGGGGTTTGCTTGGCGAGCAGCACTCTCCAGGTCCTCCTCTCAACCTTCTCCTTGGGTTTGCTCCTGCTCGTGTGGAGAAATCAGCCTGGAGCTGCCTCAGCCTCTCACCAATGACTGCCCAAGGTGCCAGCAGGCTCTTATGCCCCTTCCCAAAAAAGCGGGCTCATGCACGAGCAAGCAGACGACTTTCCCAGCCCTTGGTGGGTTCCAAGTGGGACAACGCCGAGCTCTCCATCTCCAGCGGCTCTTTCCTGCATCACCTCGCTGTGTTGCTGCAGTTTAACCAGCGCTACCTGGTTTTAATTCTGCTGCCCAAGCTACCCAGTGCTAAGTTTCTTCTTGCTTTTATCCTGGGAATTTGGCTTAAAACCACAGCAAGCCTGGCCGGCTGGCCATCCATATGGGAGAGCAGTGAGCGCGCCCGAGCAAAGCGGTGTCTTCTGGTTGGAGAAGCGCGGGCTGTGAGATGCAAACGGCGCTTTTGGCCTCGTGGGGGATTTGGAGCAGGTTGAGCAATGCTGCTCATTTGAGCAACTCAAAACTGGTATTGTTGTGTAAGGGGAAAGGGTGGCTTGAAAAGAAACAAGAGAAAAAAGAGAGAGAGAAAATGAAGATCTGCCCGTATGAAAAATCTCACTTCTTCAGATCCATCTGCTGTGGCAGCCCTTGGGCACGGCTGTGGGCAGTGCTGACCTTGTCATCCTAAACTGCTTGGAAACAGGACAGGGTAGGACCAGGTCCTGAAAGGGAGATATCCCATACAAACCCCAGTTCAGCCCAGTCCTTCCAGACCTGGAGCTTCAGCTCCTGCGGGCGCTTTCCTTTCCCATCGCATTTGCAGGGCCACTGTCAGCCCTGCTCGTGGGAGAAGGGACGTGGAGGTGTCTTCTGTGGCCTTCCTGGTGTACCTGGATCCTGTTGCCCAAACCAGATTCGCTGTTGATCCAAAGGATGAGAGAAATTTGGGTCCAGAGATCTTCACTGTGGCTTGGGATGTGGGGGAACTGGGAGCAGCAGAGGCTTGGGTTGGGTGTGGGCTGCCCATGACGTTGCTGCTGGGATGGGAAGGGAAATGATCCAGGAAAGACGCTGCTCTCCCCTCTCCTGGGACTGCTCCGTCAGAGGCACGGCCATACCCAGAGCTGACATCAAACCCACCCAGCCCAGCGAGACCAGTACGTGTGTGGCCTCCCAGTTTGCTTGAACTGCTTCAGCTGCGTCACGTAGACCCTGGCATTGACTGCAGTGCAGGGGTCCCAGATTCTGTGCTAAGACTTCAATTGCAGGGCTCTTGTTGTTTATACCTTGCTGGATGGGTGCTTTGGTGCCAAACTTCTTCAGGACGTGCTGGGTGATGGCTCTCCAAGTGATTTCCCTGTGGCTGCTCTGCTTTCCCTGTTGGTGCTGGGGCTGGAGGAGCCTGCGAGAGGCTGAGCAGATGAGAGGAGCAGCCCAGGCTCCAGCCAAAACCCATGGAGGGCACCCGGCCCTACCACCATCTGCTCCCCAGCTCGCAGACTGTGCAGAGATGGCTCATGGAAGATGCTCCCAAAATCCCTGTTGGATGCTCAGAGAGCACCACAACACGGGACAGAGACATCGGCAGCGCCTGGAGTGGACTGGGCAGCAGCAGGGAGCTGCAGTTTGTGTGTCAGGAGGAGAGGTGGGCGCTGCGGGGGTGTTCAGTGCCTGGTCCCCTGCAGAAGCTGCTGGGGATGCTGTGGCTGGAGGCTCTTGGCAGTGGAGAGGTGTGGTGAGGAGGGGAGGCTTTGCCAATGCACCCGTGCCCAGCCTGGGACTTCTTAGGGCTGCGTGCCCAGCGTTTGTTGGGCTGGAGCCCTCAGCACCTACTCAGAGCCCTTGAGCTCTTCAGGGATTGCAGATCTCATAGTGGAGCTCTGAAAGCTCAGCCGATTCCCCACCTTCCCTTGCCTCTGTGTGTTGTGCAGAGCAGCTTTTGCCTCCTGTGGTTCAGTGGTCACTGCAGGAGGAGGTCAGAGCACTGGCCGGCTCCGAGAGGCACACGCAGCTGAGTTTCTCTGTCCCCTGTGCTGTGGTGGTGGTAGCCCCAAGCTGGACATCAGCATCTCCTTTTGGGAGTGGAGAAGGGCTCTGGAAGCTGCTCCTTGCTCTGGTTTTTCCTCTCTGGGCTGTTGCAGCAACCTTGCGATACCGAGGAGTGCTGAAGGCCGATCCGAGTGCACGCTGGAAAGAAGAAACCAGATTTATCGCCTCCTCTCCTGATCTTTCCTCCAGGCTTTGCCACAGCTCAAGGCTGGATCTGTGCCGTGGTGGCAGAGCAGGGACGTTCCCTCTTTTCTTCCCTGTCTCGTGGACTGTTACGGTTTTATTGGCCCTTCCCCGGCCTTATCTGCCCTTGAATCTGGTGAGTGTTTCTGCCTGGCCTGGCCCAGCTGAGTGTCTGTCTGTCTGTCTGTCTGTCTGCCCCACAGGCCTGGGAGATTCTAGTCCTGGAGCAGCTGAAGTGGGACCTGGTGTCGGTGATCGCGAACGATTTCTTGGCTCACATCCTCCACCGCCTCCCGCTGCCCAAGGACAAGATGGAGCTGGTGAAGAAACACGCGCAGACCTTCATCGCCCTGTGCGCCACGGGTGGGTGCCTGCAACCCCCGCAGCCCCCCAGCAGGGCACTGGGCAGGGTGGCTGGGCTGGAAAACCTGGGGCTGGTCACCAATGCCCCAACTTTGAGGAGCTGGTGCCTGCCTTCGTTTGAATTGGGGTGTTTTGCTGCTCTGTGCTGTGTTTTCTATCCCTGACAAAGTGGGTTCATGCTTCTGGGGGCTCTTAGGGGGTGCCTGAAGGATGCCAGGAAAGAGGGAAGCTGCTGTGCCACCCCCTTGCTGCACAGGGTGCGACTGTGGGAGGGCACCCAGGGTCAGGGTGGGCTGAATCTGAGCTTTTATCAGCCTTGCTCCAAGTCACTGGAGCAACCTCATGTTCAGGGCTGCTTCTGGTGAGACAGACCCAGAGAAACAGCGTCATGAAGCTTGCTGCTCAGCCTGTTTCCCATTACCCCCATTTCTCTCTGCTAAGCTGGAGAGACCCCTCTTGCCTGGTCCTCTCTGGTTTTCCAGGCAAATTGCAGTCCCAAGAACCTCCTTGCTAACGGTGGCTTCCTCTTCTTTTTGCCCCCTGTGTCCCTGTCCTGGCTCTAGACCACACCTTCACCCTGTACCCCCCCTCCATGATCGCGACGGGCAGCATCGGAGCGGCGATCCACGGCCTGACCATCTCGGTGGACGACTTCAGCGGCGAGGCCATCACCGAGCTGCTGGCCAGCATCACCGGCACCGAGGTGGTGAGTGTTTTTTGGGGAGGGGGGGAGAAAAGCAAAGCGGTTTTGCTGCTGGATCTGGTGGAAGCCCTTCCTCTTTCTGAAGCTCACTCATGTTTGTGATGATGCTGAGCTTGGTTTGAGGAGTGCCCGGAGATGAGCGGGCACCTCCAAACACGGCGCCTTGGGCAGCCCCGTGGCTGCAGTTGGCTCCTGGCCACCGAGCGCTGCCGGAGCAGAGCAGGGCGAGCTGGGAGCCTTTGTGGAGCAGCACAAAGGGGAGCGTCTGTTCCCCACGCAGGCAGGTGCTGGGGGATCGGGTTGAGGTGGGACGGGACAGGGGGAGACGCCGGGCTCGCATCTGCCAACCCCCGCGGTGTCTGGTTGCAGGGACCCAGAGCAGGGTGGGGAAGGGGTCGGGGGCACAAAGTGTTTGGGATGTTGGCACAGCAGCTTTGCTGGGGACATGGGGCTGTGGGGGGCGTCTGCCTGCCCCTCCGCTGCCCTTTGGATGGGGAAGAGGTCCGCTGCCCTGTGGATGGGAAAGAGGGACCCTGTCGGGCTCCCCATTTCCATCCCGCTGCAGTGAAGCAGTCGGGAGCCTTTCTGCTGCCAGGGGCCCCTTTTGATCTTTTCTTCTGCCCGGGTGTGGGGTTGGTTTCAGTCCCCTGACAGCAGCACCGGGAATTGGGAGAGCA